GTATGTCAGGGGGTTGGTGGGGCTTCCCATTTTGTGAAGTGGAGTGGAGTATGGAGTGAGAAGTAATGGGGGATGAGGGGAAGGGAGGGACCACTGCCAATTTGCAATTTTGTTGTTGTTTTCTTAATCACACTGCTTAATCTTTGAAAGTGTCTTGCTCGGAAAATAAGGGCAGCTTTTGGAAGAAATGGGATAGAATGTCAGCTTTTTAAAAAACCAAAATGGCTTGTCTTGAGTTGCATTCAAATCCTTGCCCATCAAGCAGATGAACCATGAAAGCACTCTGAGCATGAGCAGAAACAACATGAAATCACCTACCCAGCTTTGGGAGAAAGCACACTGCACATGAGCAGACACACCATGAAATCACCCACCTGGCACTCACTTTCCCCCAAAGCCGGGTGACTGCTTTCATTTTGTTTCTGCTCATGTGCAGAGCACTTTCATGGTGTTTCTGCTGATGTGCAAAGTGCTTTCCCCAAAGCCGAGCAAGTGATTTCATGTTATTTCTGTTGCCAATTGTTAAGTTTTACCCCATTTTACAACCTTTCTTGTCAAGTTGCTAAGTGGATCATTACAGTTCTTAAGTTAGTAACATGATTAAGTGAATCTGGTTCCTCCATTGACTCGTTAGAAGGTTTCAAAAGGGGAGATTGCATGTCCCCATGACACTACAATCGTCATTTATGAGTCAGACACCAAGCATCTCAATTGTGATATGACCATAGGGTTGCTGCAATGGCTGTAATCATCAAAACAGTCATGTGACTTTTTTCAGTTCTGTTGTAACTTTGAACATGCACTAAACAGTTGTAAGTCGAGGATTGTCTGTATTAAAGATAAGTTACACCATATAAAGCAAGGCATAGGAAACTCTAATCTTAACTCTAACCCAATTTAATTGTCATTTACAAAAGAGTTCCCTTACTATGATACTGAGTTTGAAAACCTATTTTTCCCTATCTCCCTGTCTTTAACATACAAATTGTAATTAACTTGGAAGCATGCATGGCATTCTTAGTTGAAGCATGTACTCTTTTCTCTTAATTTATAAGGAAGAGTGCACAATAAACTAAGAATGCCATGCATGCTTCCAAATTAACGACAATAGTATTTCATAGTATTTATAGAACTGGTCATCTCACAGCATGCATTAATCTTTACATGCCAAAATTCTCTTCAAACTCTTCAAAATTGAAGGCATAAAATAAAATATAGCCAAAATATTTCCTTTTCCTCCCTAATGTATGAAAAATGTCAGGATGTTATTGCGAGATGGATTTCCCTTTTCCAAATAAGTTTAACTCACATGTCTTTAAAACATATTTTCTCCAAAACGAAATTCTGCACATATTAAATTGTATTATATTTAAAACTGCAATAACTATTACTAATTCTGTATCATAGTACATTGGATAATTTTTGCCAAATTTAATATATTTTATTGTATTTTTTAGCAATAGTGAATAATGGGAAACTATCAGAAGTTTTAAAGGTGTCAGACAACAAATAGGACATTGTAGCCAATCAATCAATCAATCAATCAGAATACAGCTGGAAGGGACCTTAGAGATCTTCTAGTGATCTAGTCAATCCCCTGCTCAAGCAGGAGATCATATACCATTTCAGACAAGTGACTGTCCAGTCTCTTTTTAAAAACCTCCAGTGATAAAGCATCCACAACTACTGTTAGGAAGTTTCTTCTTAATTCCAGGTTGCTACTCTCCTTGATTAGTTTCTATCCATTGTTTCTTGTCTTGCCTTCTGGTGCTCTGGAAAATAAGTTGACCCCTTCTCTTTGTTGCAGCCTCTCAAATACTGGAATACTGCTATCGTTTTAGTCATCTAATTCTTACTGCCCGGTCATCAGAGATTTCCTAGTATTGAAGCATTTTGAATAGTTATGACATGTAGTATGAAATAGTTATGATATGTAGTCTGGAGTACAATAGTATGACATACTATTCCTGCCCATGAAGTTAATTTATAGCCTAGTGCATTATAAAGGATTGCAATTGGATTAATTCAGCATTTGGATTAATTCAGGAAACCATGATTAGTCTGTTGTGCATTAAACTATATGTAGTTTGTTTGGTTTGTATTCAGCACAATGTGCAAATAGGACCTCTGAATTAATTATGGTTTTAAGGTAATAACCCAGTTTGAAATCCTGGCATCTTGTTAAGATATCAGTTGTAATTATGGATCAATATGTGTGTAACACATAATTTGGTTTGTTCTCTATTTTATCTTTGATCTGATTTTGTGCTTCATTAAAGATATCCATAGGGATGCAAGTTTTTATATTCTTTTTCTGCTTTTCCTTTAAGATTATCTTCCTTTTTTGTCATGAAATATGGCATAGTATGATGCATAAATTTAATCTCAAAATATTTTAAAGAATCCTATATTAATGTTAAATATTATATAAGATGAAAGCTATCTTAGGGTAGGTATTTTTAAATTTTATGAAACCATACTTCTAAAATATTGAAATAAATTAGCACAATTTCTTAACAAAAACAGAACTAATGGTTTTATGGAGGTTAAGGCCATAAGAAATGCACATATCAGTTTAAATCGTAATCTTTAAATTCCAGCATTTCTCAAACTTTCTAACACAACAATCTTTTTCCACACTCAGACTCACAAAGTGAACCAATTCCACAGTAAATTTAATAGTGTTCTCCCTTATCTGTCTTCTTTTAAAACATGCAATGGGTGCCCAAAATGTTTGCAACTCCACAGAAGAATCCAAACTCATAGTCTGTTAATCCTTGCCTTAAGTAAAAATGGATTTTAACAAATACTTATATCCAAAACAATTTGATACCATTTATGGGATACATGGGAAATTAATGCATGAATCCAAAGGAAAAGTACTGACTCTCATCTTATCAAGGTTTTTTTTTAATAGGGAGAGTCAATGTCCCTCATGCTTAATAGGCATTCAGAAAGCTATCACAAATTACACACTTATCCTAATTATATTTTAGGTGTTATCCAAAAACGTGTGAAAATAAGAAAAATATTCCTCCAATTTCTTGAGAAATTTTCTGAAAGTCATCTTTTAAGAGTTTTGGTATTCTAATTGTTTCCTATGTAATAAATCAGTCACAACCTGGTAGGAACCAATAACTTTCATTCTATATTATGTTAAATCAAAGGATTTTATTTACAAATCTAAGGCAATAGAAAAGAGTTCATCCCAGCATAGGACTTTTAAAAGAACAAAATTAAATTTGTGATGAAAACCATATTCTATCATATCATTCTTCTATATCATCTTACCTCTGAAAATTATGGCAGTCTCTCCCATTTTTCCTAACAGCCAGCTGACTGATTGCTCATTTCCCACTAGATCAGGTGTGTCAAACCAGCGGCATTCATGTTGTCGTCACCTGACGTATATCATGACTTTTTCCCCTTCACTAAACTGGGCGTGGTCAGTGTGTGACATATCCGGGCCGCGAGTTTGACACCCCTGCACTAGATGTTCAAAACTCTTTCTTTATCAAGCATGCCAGCTAATCAGATGGCTGGATTACCAGGTAATAATGGAAGCAGGACACCAACGATCTGCAGTGGTTTATTGAGGGAATAGAAAAAGTCTTACTGTTTTTTTCTTGATTCAAGAACACTGAATCTGTATCAGCAGAAAAACAACTAATTGAGTAGAATTGCTTAAACAGAAAGAAACTATACTTTTCGTTTACCCTACTTTGCAGCCATTGATTTTCTATTGAATGCAGATTTCCAGTACTCTAGTCATCCTCAAGCCAAACAATTTTATTTAGATGCGCTGCTTGTACTTCTAAGAGCAATGGGAAATCAATAGTCAGGCCAAGAGGACAGCTGGGTGGGAAATGTGAGACTGCATAGTCTAAATATGGATGCATGTGCTTAAGTAAAAGAGGTATAATTGAGAATAGATGCACGCATATAATCTACACATACAGAGATGGCACCGAACACTTAACTTTATAACCTCGGTAGTATAAATTTGATTGAGTACACAAATATCATACACCATAAAACAGGCATATCACAGATATCTTTAAAACACTATTTAAAAAAAAAAACGTGATCTACCTTTGGTTCATTTAACCCCCATATCCCTAAGGGCTTTTTAATAGAATGTCTCCTATCTACAATAAGCAGACAACTAGCTGAAGACAAGTATTCACAACCACAAAACTTGATATAAACTTTCCCGTCCCCCATTTTACAAAAATATCTTACATCTAATTCATCTCCATTCAAGCCTACAAACATGAGCAATGTTTTCAAAATACAAAACACGATCCTAAAAAGTTCCTTGTCTTTCAGGCAGGGATTCTTCCTCCTTCAGAAAGGTCCACCCCCATACGTGCACAGGCACACACATTGCAAGATCCCAGAACTGCAGCCACCACCCCTCCTCCTCCTCCTCGATCATTGCCCGTTTTTGAAAGTGGTGCCCCCTTTCCCTGTACCACCAATAACTTACACCACCGATCCTCACGGATACATTATTCGCTCACCCCAAAACTTCTCCTTTCGTACTCATCACAGTCACATACCACCACCACCACCACCAACCCCCAGTCAAGAATTAATCATCACCACCTCCCTCCCATACAGCCTTCTTCACTCACATTTCTGCCTAAAGGGCCCCGGATTTTTCAACGTTCAAACTTACCTTCTAGCCCAAGGCCCTAAAAGACACTTTCTTTGTACATGCCCCCCCCCCCGTTCCTATCTTCCCTGTCCCCTCCTTTGCCCAATACACACACACACACACAAGCACACACTTCCCGGCCTGCTCCCTTCTCCCCTACACGGTAGAAGGTAAGCTTCCTTCACCCTTCCAGTCACCTATATGCCTTTACATGCGCAGGCACGCCCATTCTCCCTCCCCCCCTTTCCCTCTCTCTTTCACTCCCCCTCTCCCTCCCTCTCTATTTCTCTCCCTCTCTCCCCCCCACTCTTCCCCTCTCCTCTCTTTCAGCCCTCGTTACCTCCACGGCGGCCTCGAGTTTTCCCTCGAAGGTGAAGTCGATAAGGTCGGGCTTGAGACACAGCCCATAATTGATGGGGCGCACTTCGGTCGGGAGCCGCTCGAAGGGCCGCTTTTCCGGCATCGCAGCAGCAGCAGCAGCGCCACGAGAAGACGAGACGGTGGAGAAATCAGAAGAAAAGGGGGAAGAAGAAGCAGCAGCAGCAGCGGAGGCGGCAGCGGTGATTGAGGCGAACGGGGAGGCCCAGTGAGCGCACGGAGCGAGGGGGAGGCGACGACCTCCCGCTGACAGAAGGAAGAGACGGGAAAAGGGAGGGCGAAGAGGAGGAGACGGCGGCTGCGCGCGCCTCGCCTGGCCCAACCGAGAGTGAGAAGCCGAGTGGGGCGGCTGTGAGCGCGCGCTAGCCCGCTGCCTGTCCTGCTGTCGCTGCCACCCTCTTACCCCAGATGGCCACCAAAGGGAGAGAGCCCGACGCGCGTGCGCACGCCACCTCTCTTTCGTCCCCTTGATCTCCCGAGCCTGCTGGGGGGGGAAATCCGAAAAGAAGGGACTACTCGTGGGGTGACGCACGCGCTTTAGCGCCTGCGCAGTAGGACACGGCGAGGCCGAGACACTCTCTCTGATCAGGTGGGCAAGAAGTAGACCTCCCCGGGCCATTTGAGTTTTGCGTGTATCTGTGCGGAGGCTTGAGCTGAACGTTATCGGGTGCCGACGCGGAGGAACTCGGAAGATACCAACAGCAAAGTGAAACAAGAGGAGGGAGGAGAGTTTGTTCGCTCGCGCATGCGCACTGGTTTTAAAAAGAAAAAAAGAAAAGGCTGCCCGGTGTGGTGGGGAGCCCAGCGACAGCTTGAGTTTTACTCAGCTGCATTTTTGGCGGGCGGGATGAAAATAAGAAATGTGACACGCGCAGGTCAGAGGTTGCTCTCGCGCCTCTTCCTGTTCTGAACTTCGGGGCACGTGAACGCAAAGAGAATTAACTGCGTGCACAGGATACGTCGAGCTGGGTTTACGCAGCATATATGCTAGGCTAAAATGTGATTGGCTAGTATGTGGTTCACTCTACCTGGCAAACACAAAACGTATTTTCCGTGTTTTTTTTTCAATTAGCCTGCGAAGACATTAGTACGGAATTTAGTTTTTGCATTTTGGGAATTGGGCGGAATACAGGTGGCCCATATCTAAAGGTGGCTTATCTCTAGATCTAACCAACCTAACTAAATCCACATTAATAATAAATGGCCTCCAAGAGAGATTCCCTTGTCTCTGCTATTTAGCTGTGCAGCTAAGATCAGGATTTCTTACCTACCACTGAAACACGGATATCTTTTTTTATTTAAAGGATATATAGCCTGCCTTTAAGAATAACAATCCTCCCAAAGATTAGAAGCAATATAAACAATTGAACCCAAAAGTATGACAGTACTGTATTGAACACCTTTAAGAACTTATTCACAATTCTGCCAGGTTGGTGACAATGAGGGAAAGAAGTGGAAAGATAATGGTGGTTGTTTTTCATAGTTAATCATTATTCAATTCAATTTTTCTGAGTTTGCATAACTTACCCATGAACAGCCCATGGGCTCAGTTTGCAGGGCATACTAGAGTTGCTGTCACCTTGAAATTTTAGTTGCATTTTTTTTCCTTTTTGCTTTGTATTGTTTTGAAATATTCTAAATTCTTTTTCAAGTTCTACATTTGGCATCAACATTTGAGATAAAAATGTTAGGGTCAGGAGCGGCTTATTCCACCAAGCGACATACCTTCTTGCTGTTTGGTACTCGTAGTGCCTTCTGGAATCAATTGTATATGGATTGTGGATACGTCACAAGATGGGATTTATGGTGAATGTATAATTTGTGAATTATAAATAAATTAGCATTACTGTATTGATATTCCGTTATAATTTGTACTTTCTATTATAAAAGTAAAAAAGTCTGGCATTTGCAAAATTAAATGGGAACTGTCAACATCTCAAGAAAAGATACATGTTGCAATTTGGTGGAAATCAAGTTTGCTTGGCAGTATATGCTTTCTCTTCCCACGCAAATGTAGTTTTATTGCAGTGGTGGGTTCCGGATCATGTTGCAACCGGTATGGTGCAACAGGACCGAGGTCCACCACATGAACGTGGCGCACCCATGCAACACTCCGGGATGCCTCCGGAACTCTCCAGCTGCTTGGTGGAGCATATGCGAGGAGCATATGGAGACACCATATGCTCCTTGTGCATGCGCAGAAGCCCCAAATAGCTCAAATATAGGTAAGGAGCATGAGCGGATGAGTGGGCCCTCCGGAGCACCATACTGAAACGGTACCTGGTACTCCCAGCAGGCACTGGTATGCCCATACCAGGACATACCAGTCGTATCTCCCCACTGTTTTATTGTATATTCTGGCCGCAGCGTGACAGTAGTTAGAACTGTCACAGAAGTTTTCTGTGTTGGATGGAATACATTTGGTTTGGCAAAGGAATCAAGCAAATTTGAAATAGATATATTCCTGTAAAAATGTAAGTAAAAAGGTGAAATAAAGTTTTCTAAATAGAATAGGAAGATAGAACACATTAAATTTTGTATATAGTGCAAAATCTGGCACATTTTAAATTTAATTATTTTTAGAATCTTATGCATGCTTCCTAGTCATTTTTAGATGTAAGCATTTTCATTTATTTATTATAGAACTCTTCATCCTAAGACAATAACTTGTATTATAACCCCTTAATTTTGTTCTGAACTTTTATATGCATAAGACTGCAAGTATATGCATTATCAAAAACAATACAATATATTGTAAAATACTTCCTTTAGCAAAAAGCTGTACTTAATAACTATTATACAAATGTTTTGCTTTCATTGCTGCTGTTCCAGTGTTTTAATTGAAAATTAAGTGTTAATTCTTGTGTTTTCAATAAATGTATTTGTACCCTTGTAAAATATTTGTTTGTTGCTTTTATGAGTTTATTGTAAATTGTCAGGTATACTTCAGTTCTCATTTGGGAAAAGGATTAAGTTATGTTATCTCTGTAAGGAAACAAAAAGCTGGCCTATAAAAATATTCACTGAGTGGGAAGTCTGAAGTCCCATTAGAATAGAAAGGTGGTAGAACACACTGAAAGCTAAATCAAAGTCATAATCTAGTAGCTCCTTTATAGAGCAAAATTAAATATTTAGAAGTATGAAACTCAATGTTTTCAGTACTTAGCCTCCAACAAGTAAAAACAAAGAATGCAATATTGTTTACATTCAAATAGATTAATGGTGGCCTAATCCAGCATTCTCCAGCCTAATACCATCACCACCACCATTGTCTGCAATTACAAATCCAAAAACTGCCTGGAAATAGTAATAGCACGTAGACTTATATACTGCTTCACAGTGCTTTACAGGCCTCTCTAAGTGGTTTACATAATCAGCATATTGCCCCCAACAATCTAGGTCCTCATTTTCCCAGCTTGGATGGGTGGAAGGCTAGGTCAATCTTGAGTTGGTGATACTAAAACTGCTGGCAGTCAGCAGAATTAGCCTGCAATGCTGTATTCTAACCACTGTGCCACCAATCTCAGAACTGAAAAAGCAAGTGTAATCCTTAGTACAATTAAATAAAATGCTTTAAAGTCAGATAACAGCAGTGACATTATTGGTGCATGTTTCCATGTAGATGGCTGTGAGTGCTGATAACATGTTCAGAGAGGTACTTTAAGCAATTAAAATAATTGCTCGAAATATAAACAAGTTTGTCTTTGCCTTTATTTAGAAATTGAGCCTACTTAATTTGTGGAATGTGTCCATTCTTCAACCCATCCAATCTTCTTCCTATATTAATCAGCTGGTTTTGAAAATCCACAAAATATTAATATTTAGAAATGTACTTTGAACATATTTTCTCACAAATATACATTTTAAAATGTATTTGTATTCAGATATTTATTCTGAGTTTGGAAATGCAATGTGAAAGTCAGAGAAGTGTAATCCAATCTCCCCTTTAAACCGGGAGGTACCAGTCAAGTCAGTTCACATTGGAATTCACAAAGAATGAATTTCTCAAATAGCCCCATTAACCTGTGTTGCTACATATCTGTTCAGCTGCCTGCCTCTGAGGTCAGTCATATGGCATGCCGATTCATGCTACAAGCTGTTTCCTTGTACTTTCCATTTGTCACTGTTGATCAGCTGTGAAACATGTCAAAAACCTTGTGAGTGTCATAAACCCAAAAGGGATTTAAAGTCCAGAAAGCAAATTTGACCCTACCCGCAGCAGCAGAAAAGCAGTTCTGTTTCAACAGCTACAAAAATGTTGGAATGTCTCCAGTTTGGGATTCAACTGTTAATTCAAACAGTGAAACTGCTGGGTATTCTAGAAGGCTGCCAAAGAAGCAAAAATCTGCTGGAGTTAGCAAACACAAAGGTTGAATTCTAGTGTGTCTTCTATGTAAGAAAAATCAGTATCCAAAATGTTAGGCTTATGTAGAAAGATTTACCAGTCTTTTGCAACATTAGTCTTTGTTACTTTGAAATTCACTAATGCTGTGGTGAGGCTGTTATTCATTGTTCCCCTTTTCCTACCTCTCTTCCATTCCGCTAATCTTTTCTCTCATCTGCTATATCTACCCTATACTTTATGCCTTTTCAGTTTTCTTCCTTTCTGTTACTCTAATGGTGCCAGTGCAACTTCTTCTCTTTCAAAGCTAAGGCCAAAAAGATCACCAGGTTTTGTACAATGGGTAGGATCAGCCTTCAGTTACTCTGTTTAATTAAGGAGTGCCCATTTGTCTTCATCTCAGTCTCTGATGAAATGTTATCCTACAAAAGAAAGTAAAGGCTTAAATGGACAATTCCTTATAAGCAAGACATGGCAAAAAGCAAAGAGAAGTGGGGGTACTGAGAGAAGCAGTTGACAAAGTAAAAAAAAAGGGGGGGACAAAGTTTGTATTAAATAAATAATGAGGTACATTAATATACTGGTCAAAAAGTATTGTAGATAAGTAAAAGAATTCTGTACATTAAAACAGAATCCACTTTTCCCTATTACACTTTCATACAGATAGTCCTCCTTTAATGAATATTTGCAATTATGACGATGAAAAAGTAACTTTGCAAGTGATTCTCACATTTATGACTTTCACAGCTGTGTAAAACAAAGGAAAGCTGAAGTATGTAAGCATAATCATAGTTTCACTTAGCAACTGTTTGGGTTAATGACCCAGTTACTAATCCCAATTGTGGTCACTAAATAAGGACTACCTGTAAAATGTAATTGTTGAACAAACTTTCAATTTGTGGTATATTACTGATTCTTTAAGTCAATATTTCTCAGTTTTAAGATACATGAACTTCAACTCCCTAATTCCCCAGCCAGCATGCTGATTACATA